TTGTCTTAACTTTTAAAATCGATCCTGCAAAAGTGTCCTAGGAATAAATTAACACCTTATATAGGACTTTTCACAAAGCGACTGGTCGACAAAATTGAACAGGAGGAGGATATTATACGATGCACCAGAAAGGATGAACTGCGGCCATTTTAGAAGCAGCCCATAAAGAGTTCGTTCTAGTTTCTTCGAACGGGTCATCGAAGTTTTCCCCGATCGGTAACGCCCTTGTCTGAACCGGACAGCGAATAGGTCGAGAGAGTTACGTCAATGGGCGATGTACGTTGAAAAATATTCGATGTCTCGGCCTGTGCGCGACTATCAAATGGATTGGATTGATCTTTGCTCGCTCTCACGCTCGTAAATCCTTCCTGTCCACCCCTGACTACCATCAATTACGCGTATCTATAGTTTATAAGTTAATACGAACCGCTGTTCGTTGCACGCTGGACTCGAATTGGTCCTAATATGCATTCAACTTTGCATTTGACAACCGTTCGGTAACATTCGGGATCGGCGGGGATAGCGTTCGGATACATGGCTACGATTGGTCCCGAAGAGAGCCGAGTAGTGCCGAATGTTACCGAACGATATGTTTAGAGAAATATATTTCAACTCGCTTTAACGTGCATGCGTTATAAAAATATATAGAAGTTATATTTCTCTTGTTTTTATAATAATGAAAACATCGGTGAGAATAACTGATGATCATATATTTGGATAGTACTGTAATTATTTATATTTATTATGCGAATGCGATCGTTGAAAAAGACTGATTAAACACGTTTTGCGCAAACATAAAGAATGAAAAAGAAAAAAGAGTATAGAAACTGTAAGATCGTTAATTCCAAAAAGACAGTTACAAGCGGAACGCGGCACGTTTGCATAAGCAGCTTATGACTCGTAATAATGCAAAAAGCATTAGAGCTTCGTAAGAAAAGCTTTCTTCCGTTGGAAGTGTGCGAAGCGAGGATGGGATTAGAAGAAGAAAAAAAAAAAAAAAAGAGAAGAAAAATCATCGTTGGCGTTGTTTCGTTTCGATTCGATTACACGGGGTCACAACCATGGAGTTTTCCTAGGATCATTAGGAACGTGAGGCCGTTTAACGTTTCAATTTTCCGCGTTTGGACGAGAAGGGGAAGAGGTTGGTAGTTTTTACGTCGTGTACACGTTGTCCTATGGGACACGAGCGTAAAACACAGTCGTTTGTTAAGCCGTTTTAAGCCACGAGCAGAGATACGAGCTAGTTAGGAAAACAAAGTGGTATAAACACGTTGAGTAGCCGTGGCCTCGTGGTTTACGAGACACGCGATTCCGATGTTTCACTCGATACCATCGAGAATTTAATATACATACCGGGATCGATTCGAGCGTTACAAGCGCGACGACAAATATCCCCTTCCCTCTGGTCGAGACATCGATTCCTCCCTATCATCGCGTTCGTTAAAATCGAAAGCTAACACCACCGTGCAACGAGAATTGTTCCTACTCTTCGTTCCGGTGTTTATTTGCACACGGATTAAGGGTACGGATAAAAATCCGATCCGGTGAACAAGTGTAAAAAGAGAACGAATACACATGTGGAGTGAGAAAAGATATAGGGAATTTCTTTTTAGGTTTACCTAATTTGTAACTCAAACGTTTCTCGCGTCTGTATTCATCGATTCGAAGACGGAATATTCCTGGATATGAGGACTATATGGAAATAAGCATGTACAAGGGAACGGGTGCGTATAATGCCAACTGTGCCGCATCAAAGTACCCCGTGGGATATACATGTAAATAAGTGAATATTTCAGAAACCGCACAAGGCGGAGACCTACGAAATATAACGGAATTCTGGGTCGTAAACGCTTGGAACAGATCGTGGCCATATATCCGAAAGATATATCCTCACGAATTGGTCGATAAGAGTGAAAAATAGAGAATTTTGACGATGAAAGTAAAACATGCGAAAAAAAATTATATTTTTCTCACAGTTATTGGTAAAATTTTTTTTGAAATAAAAAATTTAAATTTTATATATGCGAATTTATAACTAGTTTTATATTAGATGATATGCTGATAGCTAATAGTACCTAAGAAGTAATGAAAGTGTAAATGGTGGTCATATAAGAGGATCAGCGCTTCGTTTCTTAACAAGTATCACGCTGCTCTATTCCACGATGCTAAAGTGCCAATTATTTTTACCTCGATTTTACCGCGACCTCGATAATCGTGATGTGGCATGGACGCAATTAGCGAATCGAATAGAGTTCGGATCGAATAGGATCGAATCGAATCCTACTCGATGATTTCCACTTTTGCGAAAACATTCCATCGTAGTCCGCGTATCAAAGGCATCGACTAATTACGAGATATTCGAGTACTAGATATCGTAAGGGCCGTTGTCGTTGAGCTCCTTCCTTTATACCGAACTGGACGATGCAACCGATTCGCTTTGATCTCGGATGGTTCCCCGTTTATTTCGAAAACTTTTCGTCCATCGGGAATACGAACTGGAATTCAACGATTTGCAGGAGAATCGAGCAAAAGCTATGCGCCTGTCGAGCGAAAAATTTAATTATTCTCGAAACAGAGCCAGAGAGGACTCTGATAAATTTTATTTCACCGTTACACTCGTCGACGGTCTGTGGGTCAAGCACAAAAACTCGCTATTTAATTATACGAGAGAGAAAGATGAATTTATAAAGAGTAAGTTTCCTAATAGTGTAAAAACATAAATAAATCATCATTTACTTGTATAAAAAAATGTTTTAAATAAAATTTATATATTATATAGCTAATAATTTAATGTTACATTAATAATTATCTTAACATCGAGACACAATTTTATAGTGGTATAAATATTGTTTCACGTTATATCTATTTATTCTAAATATTCTTTATATATATTTATATAAGATATATTTGGAATTAATTCGAAACCTCGATGTGTTTATTGACATTTAACTTTGTCGATTATTCACCTTCATATATTTTCTGTATCTTTAATGTCATAATGTGATTTTTGTTTAAAATATTTTCTTATACGAATTATTTAAAATTATGTATATCAGAGAAACTCACCTTATGCAACGATGTTGACTCTTAGTTCCTTTGTTTGTAGCGATGCACAAAGAATTTCATTCGAGGTAATTAAAACAGAAGACACGAATTCGTTGATCGACCGATACGAAAAAAAGCCGTTGGGTATTTCGCGTCGCAAATATTTGAATGTTTCTTCTCATTTTTCACAACACTGTTATATATAGTGATTACAATTAATATTCACATTTCAACACATATATACCTGAATATTCACTTTTCTAATTCATCCAACAAGACAAAAGGACGCAAATTATTTTGTTTTTTGTAACATTCACGCGAGGAAATCAAGTGGATTTCGATGATTCGCCATGTTCCTTATTTTCTTTACCGATTCGTTGCGCCTTCTCTCGTTATGATCGAGAACTATAAATAATTTTCTCGACCAATCATCTTTCTTCTTTTTATCTTTACTCTTAGAAGAAAAGAGCTACGTCTTGTCCTAGTTTTCTCTCTTTCTCTCTATGCACATTGTTCGAGTTTGTTGAAAAAAGAAAGAAAGAAATAGAAAAAGAGAATTGACGAACGTCTGAGAAGCGCGTTCTTCTCGAGCAATTTCGTCTCAAAGGGAGCAGAAACAAATATGCGTACACATACGAGCATTATTGTTTGGGCCACTTGTTCCACGAATTCCAAGCTCAGACTGTCTGCCACGTGAAATCCCGGATCTCCGTTACCTTGTTATTCCGTTACCAGATTCACACTGCATCATCAATGGCTTGTATAATGGATTATACGAAACCGCAAACCGTTTAATTCCACCATAGGCGTAACGTTCGCGATTATCGTGTAACACACACTGGCTGTTATCGCGTGTCCGTTGGAGAATTTTAGTCCAAAGCTTGGGGAATCTTCGTCATGAAGCGTCGAGCTTCGCATTCGAGAGAGAGAAAGAGAGGAAGAGAAAGAGAAGAGTCTGGGCGCGAAATCGTTAAAAGGCCCGAGGCGAAAAGAAACGAGCAGAGTTCATCGGCTGCGACGCCCACTTTTTTTTTTCCCGCGGTGAGGCCAATTTTTCCTCGAGTTAATCGCCCGATGGCACGCAGTGTTTTCAGGAAACGTTCGTCAGTCACCCGATATTATTTTTTTTTCACCAAAATGCGCTACACTATTTTCGTAAAATATATTTTAAATAACGAACAGTTTTATCTTTTTTTTTTTTTTT